ATGTAAAATATTTCATTGACAATATTTTATATTGATTATATGTTGAAAATAACAATGTGGTTATGATTGGCTTAATAAAATATATTTAAATTAATTTCACCCGTTTATTTTTACTGGCAAATGTGGCCGCTAGAAAACTTAAAAATCACATCTGTGACTTGCATATTTTATCAGACAGAGCTGGACCCTTCCCCCAACTTACATGGTTCCTCTAACAACATCTTGCTGTATTTTCTGTGTGGCATTTATCACTCCTGAATTCTCTTTTACTACTGACTGGTTTTCTGGTTCGTCTGCCTCTGCCCAGCCATCCCACACACCAGAGAGTGGGATGGGTGCCCCAGGCCTGCCTTGCTGTCTGTGTATCCCCAGTACTCAGAACAGCACTTGGTCTTTGGAAGGGGCTTAATGGTAGCGGTCAAACAAATAAATGAACAAATGATAGCGGCTGGGAAGTGTTGGCCAGTCCTCACCTGACTTCTGATGTGCAAAGTGATGCTTGACGTGGTGGGCCTTCATGTTATACAGGTAGGAGCCCTTGTGCGGCGAGCCGAAGTGCAAGTAGTAATGGATCATGTCGTAGAGGATGTAACCCAGGAGGCCACCGGCGAACATAGTGCCCCCCACCGCCTCGGGCAGGAGGAGCTGGAACATTGCGTAGAAGAAGGCCATCGCCAGAGAAGCTGGCGCAGGGGGGAAGACGAGGCGGGACTCATCAAAGGGTGCCTGTGGATGGAGAGGCTCAAGTGTCAGAACGCAGCCTGGGGCCTGCTTGTAGTCACAGCAGAGATGCTCCCCTCAGAGGGTGGGGTCGGAGTGGCCCAGACATCCCAGTGAGGGGGCGGCGAACCGTCATGGCACTGTCAGTAGCTTTGGGAAGGGGCAGGGCACCATGCCTGAAAGCCCTACAGAAACTGTCCTGCTCCCAATTTCCAAGCCAGGAGGGGACCTGGAACACTGTCCAAGAGCACGGAGGTGGATGTGATGTGGGCAGGACGCTCACGGTTCAGAGTCCTGCTTTATGTTCAAAAGGCCACTTTGGCTCTGGCATTTGTTGGGGTACTAGAGGGGAGCTCTGCCACCAAACACCAGGTGGGGCACTTAGGCCGGGGCCTGATGTTGTCTGGGAGGGCAACACATTGGCAAGCTGAGGTTAATGCCAATTCCCATGGCGGGATGGTACTGGAGGTGTTAATATTCTTTCTCCCCACTCCCAGGTCTAACAGAAGCCCCTCTTTGTGCCAAGGGGGTGTTGTCACAGTGAACAACAAGAGAAATAGGCCTTAGGCTCTGCAGCCTTAAAAGCCAAAGGCCTGTCATAGAGGTAAGATTTTAGCGACTGCTTGGTGAATATTCTGAAAAGAGACAGACCCTCTTTGGATTGGAAGGAATGAGAGAGAGAGCGAGAAAGCGGGCAATAGTCACAGAGCAATATGCTGATGAGGGCCTCCCTCCCATCAGACCAGGAGCAAAAGGACCAGCTAGAAACCCAGCTCCTGGAGAAAGAAGGAAGAGAGGAAGGGAGGGAAGGAAGAAGGGAGGAGAGAGGAAGGAAGGACGCTAAGCACAGCATGGTGTAGGGACGGGGGATGCAGCTTCCTCCGGGCAGACCTGGCTTCCAGTCCCAGCCACTGTCACCATCATATTGCCCTTGAAGAGCCCCAGGGTGGTGGGTGGTTGAGAGCACCAACTCTGGAGTCCACAGAAGGGGGCATAAGATCCTGGCTGTGCTAGGTATGACCTTGGGCAAGTTCCTTAGTTGCTTGATTTCCCAAGCCTCAGTTTGCTACTCTGTGGAGTGGGGAGAACTGTAGCACCATCTTCAGAAGGAAGCTCCACAAGGAGTGATTTCTGACTCTTTTGTTCAATGGTGTCTCGCAAAGAACCTGGCACAGAGTGAGCACGTTTGTCGAATGAATGAATGAATGAGTTGTTGTGAGGATTAAAGATGATACATGAAACGTACCCGCAGAGTGCCTCGTGTTAATAATCATGGCACACAGACACACATACTCACCGTCCACACCAGTACAGGTTAGGACCCAGTCCTCCCTCTGAGCAACATCAAATGCCCTGGTTTCCTCTTGTTCCTAACCTGACTCACAGAAAGATCGGCAGCTCCTGTCAGTCAGTTACAGCTGCAAGACCCCAGGTGGCAGCCTGCCCTTGCTCACCTTGTGGTGCTGGCCGTGCAAGACGAAGTGCAGCATGATGAGGTAATAGCTGTTGCTGGGGGGCTTCATGTGGAACAGGAAACGGTGGATGAGGTACTCTACTAGGGTCCAGAAGAGTATCCCCATCACAAAGAGGCCCGGGAACACGGACTTAGGCATGGCTACTGAGTACTCTGCAGGGTGGCGAGAAAGAGTACAAGGTCAGGGCAGACAGCCCCAGCAGGCAACAGTGCCTGGTGGCTCCAGACATTCTATCTCACCACCCTGTCACCTGGGGAGCTGCTTCCCTCTGTCCAGCAGCTATGGGGCCAGGCCATACTATTGGGACTCCTGGGTCAAAACGGGAAGGATGCTGTGAGAATCTGTGCTGGGCTTGGAGGGGTCCTCTCAAGGGATGATGGGGTCCCTGGCCGGAGATCTGAGATGTTCCTTGGAGGGACGAAAGAGTGGCTGTGGCTGGCACTGGACCTTTGCCTAGGGCTATGGTCTGAATGTCCCTTCGAATTTCTTGTGTTGAAAGCTAACCCCCCAAGGCGATGGTATTAAGAGGTGGGGCCTTGGAGAGGTGATTAGCTCATGAAGGTGGAGCCCTCATGAATAGAATTAGTGCCCCTTATAAGAGAGGGCCCACAGGGCTCCTTTGGCCTTTTGGTCATGTGAGGGTACAACAAGAAGCCTGTGACCTAGAAGACGGCCCTTACCTGACTAGGCTGACACCCTGATCTCAGACTTCTAGCTTCCAGAACTGGGAGCAATTAATTTCTGTTGTTTATAAGCCACCCAGTCTGTGATGTTTTGTGATAGCAGTCCGAATGGCTAAGACACCTGAGGGTGGCCTTACCTCAGTGGCATGGGGGAGATGGAGGGATGATTCCCAATTAAGCCAGTAGAGCTGGGGAGGTCATTGATGAAAAATGTTAACAACTAGGGACCAGGGGGCAGGAGGGACAGGAAAACCCATGTAGAGAAATCTCAATGGACAACACTTGAAATCATAGCATATGAGGAAGATGTGAAAAACAAAACAAAACAAAACAAAAAAAACCCAAAGATGATTAACCTGAAGACCAGAAGACTGGAGAGATGTAACTGTCATCAAGTGGGAGGTTCACAACACCCAGCCCTGATGACATACTGCAGTCCTTAAGGCTCTCGTTTCTTTTCTCCACTTCACTCATTCTTTGACTTCATGAGGACTTCAGCTCTTGTCACTGTTTCCTCCATGTCTATCCTCACCCTCTTAGCTTTACTTCTTTTCTCCACAAGCCAATGCTTTGGCCATACTTTCTCTCTCTCTTTTAAAATAACAGCTTTATTGACATATAACTCACATGTCATACAATTCACCCACTTATAAAGTGTACAATTTAATGGTTTTTTAGTATATTTAGAGTTGTACAACTACCACCACAGTCAATTTCAAAACATTTTTGTCACCCCAAGAAGAAACCCTGTATCCATTAGCAGCTGCCCCCTATTTCCTCCAACCCCTGCTATTTCCCAGCCCCTGGGGAACCACAAATCTTCTCTCTATCTATGGATTTGCCAATCTGGACATTTCATATAAATGGAATCATACAATGTGTTGTCTTTTATGACTGGCTTCTTTTCCCTATAATATTTCCAAAGTTCACTCATGTTGTAGCACGTGTCACAATTTCATTCCTTTTTAAGGCTGAATAATGGCCCATTGTGTGAGTAGGCCACATTGGTTTATCCATTCATCATTCGATGGACATCTGAGTTGTTTCTACTTTTTGGCGATTATGAGCAATGCTTTTATTAACATTCAGGTACAAACTTTTGGGTGGACACATGTTTTCCGTTGCCTTGGGTTTATGCCTCGGAGTGGCATATCATTAACTACGGGTCATATCATAACGATGTTTAACCTTTTGAGGAACCACCAAACCGTTTTCCAAACATAGCCATTCTCTTTTGACCTTCACTCCATCTCCCTCGCCTGCCCCCATGAACCCCCAACCCTGGATCAGTACAAGAACCTGGCTCCCCAACCCCATAGCCCAGTTTCTGGGCATGGAGGGAGAGTTGTAGAGCCACGGGTCTGGTGTCTTCAACCTCAGCTAGACCCCAAACACTGCCTGGTGATCCTCCTGTGTCTCCAGGCATCCCCCTCTCCTCTCCTTCCACCCAGGCTCCTACTTCACAGAGGAAAGAGGCCTTGGGGAGAGAGAACAGCTCCCTCCACATGCTCCCCTCCACCTTCAAACACACCTGATTCAGCCGCCACCCTGGAACTTCATTGTTGCTCTTCAGGGACGAGGTGTGCCCCCAGGCACCTGGGCACTGGATGGTGGTGGCAGTAATAGTAATAATAATAATAATAATAATAATAATAATAACAACAACAACAACAGATATGTATTGATCAGTACCTACATACGAGGCATTGTTCAAGTACTTTACATGGATTACTTCACATTTCACCTCTCTCCGACCTCACCAGGGAAGCATCGGCATTGCCCATATGAGTGAGGATATGGAGGTACAGACAACTTCATTACTTGCCCAGCTCAGCCTGCCAGGCAGTGCGGAGCCCTCCGCCTGCCTCCCCTCCCTCTGGGCATCTTCAACTTCTCCCCTGGCCCTTCTGCTCATCTTTAAGACTGTCCTATAATAGACTCTGCCCCTTCATAGACAAGCACACTGAAAACATGAGCTAGACTCAAGTCTCTCCCGCTTTCCATTCACTCCGCAAGCGCCTAAAGCCTGTCCTCTGTGAAGAAGAGCTGCAAAGGCCATTCAGGTATTTCTTGCCAGATCTAAGACATTTTTTTTCAATTCATCTCTAACTCGGCTGTGGCATATGACTTTAGTGACCCTTCTCTTCTTGAATCTGCAACCACATAGGTTCCTTCCCTGAGGTTTATGAATCCTGTTGGATTCCAGAGTGTGACCTGCCGAAATGATATCCCAAATGATGCATCTGTGTGCTTTTTCTCTGGGGAGCGAGTCCACAACTTTTCAGATTCTCAAAGGATCTGGGAACCAATAGTTTAGAACACACAGCTCCCCTCCCTGCCTGCTGGGACACTTGGCTCTTCTCCTCTTCTCTAGATGCCCTTTGTCAGGCTCCATCACGGACACTCTGTCTCTGTCCCCAGGGTGAAAGCCTTGGCCCTCCACTCTCACCTGCTCTCTGCTCGATCCCAGATGTCAGCCACAACCTCCAGGCCTGGACAGCGACTTGCTATTAGTCAATTCCATGCAACTGTTCACTGGCCCCCAAAGTCAACAGCTCCCAAAAGAAGCCAATTGTCTTCCTCTTCCTTCCTGCCTAGCCCATCACCCCAGGCTGCTCCTCTTGGGTTCCTTCCTTAGGGAGATGTCCACACATTACCAAAGGCTTAACTTACCCTTCTCTCCTGCGTCCGACCAGTCACCAAGCTCTGTTGGTTCACCCTCCTTAATATCTCTTGGCAAAGTAAAAGAAGCCAATACAACAGACCACATATTGTACAATTCCATTTATATGCAATGTCCACAATAGGCAAACGTATAGAGACAGAAAGCAGATTGGTGGTGCCAGGGGCTGGGAATGAGAAAAAATGGAGAGTGACTGCTTGATGGTTATGGGGTTTCCATATGGGGCGATGCAAATGTTTTAGAACTAGACAGAGGTATTGGGTGCACAACATTGTGAATATATTAAGTGCCACTGAATTGCTCAATTTAAAATGGTTCATTTTATGTTATGTGAATTTCATTTCAATTAAAAAAAATATATGTATCTCTCTCAGGTCAGTTCACTGCTTAAAATGCCCCATTACCTTATCATCTCTTGCTCCAATAATTGCATCAGCCTACCACCCCAGCTCCCTGCCCCCACTCCCCCCACACACACACACACACTGATAAAACCCTTCTCTGGTACGTCATGACCTTCAGGCAAAGTCCAACCTCCCTACACAGTACTCAAGGTTCCTCAAGACCTGATCGTGCTGGCCACATCCCTGCCTTGTCTCCCTGTCACCCTGTACTGGGCCAAAGCAAATCACTCCCACCTCCTTAGATGGGCCACATTCACCCTCCCCACACATCCCTAATTTGGCTGTTTCTTTCCCTGGAATTCCCTCCCTGCCTTCCTCATCCTTGGAGAATCAGCCCATGTGTCTCCTGTAAGAAGCCTCTGTCTGGCCAGCCGAGTGGCTCACTTAGTTAAGAGCTTGCTTAAGAGTGCGAGCTCTGAGCAACAGGGTTGCAGGTTCGATTCCCACATGGGCCCATGAGCTGC